GGCTAGTTTTTTTTTTTTTTAAGGGGAACAATGAACCCTGTAATATGAATTTTTAATCTTTAGTGTTATATGTTTGATATTAAAAATACTTTTTCGACTATTGAATGATTTATATGATTTTATTTTCTCCACAATTTTTGTGCACGGTAGTTGTGTGAATTTTGTGACCTATTTTATACATTCGAAAGAAGGAAAATGGGTTCGACATATATAAATTGTCATAAGGTTCGATATGGGATAGAAATATATCGCTATACTCTATTTGAATATTTAAGCGTTTATAAAAATTTATACATTTTTATATGTTCGCATCCGTCATGGAAATATATTTGAGTCATATATAAAAGTAGGTTTAACCTTATTCGAGAGAGATTGTTAAATAAAATAGGGATATTGGATTCAATTCCACTTTATTACTTGTTAACGAACAGTACATTGCGGTAATTTTAATTCGAAATATATTTTCGTGAACAATTATCCTATTTCTGTTAGTATTTAAACTCTTTTGTAACCCCTTTTAGGGTTGATTGAAGTTGATTTATATGTTTAGATATTATATTTAAATTGGAGAAAATTACTTTAAGAATTTTTTATTTTATTTTATTTTTGTTAAGATCTTAATTTTCCAAATCATGGAATATAAAATGGTTACAATATGTCATATTTAAGGTATCCTTCATTACACTTTCTATATGTGAGGTGTTTTATAGGCATTTGGAATGATTTAATAGAATTAAAGATTGCTAAAATCATAGCTTAATTAGTCCTAGTAAGCTTATAATATTACATCATGTATTATATATATGTGTTCACTTTATTTGAGTTTGGTATTTTGAAAAAAGTAATCTCAAAAGGAATTATCTTCTGTTTTATTCACAAAAACTTTCTCATTAACATTTCATGCTTATTACCAACTAATTGCATTTGCGGGTCATGAATTTTGAGGCTCTTCAAATCTCTGAACTATATATTATGATAACTGACTCAGAAAATAAGAGGGAAAAAACTTGTATTCAACTGTTATAGGAAGATGAATATTGGCAAATAAAATGAATATTGAATGTCAACATGGAAAGTATTTGATAAATTAAGTACCTGCGATTCGTCATTCGTCATATTTAATCTTTGCTCAGCATAGGAATACCTTTCATATCTTTCAATAATTTTTTCCATACTACAAGATAAAGAGCAAGTCAGAAGATGAACCTCGAAATAATAATAATCATTATTGTCTCAATTTTAATGAAGTATTGGAAAAAATTTCAGATAAAGCATCAAACGTAAGTTCAATAATCCATATATGTGACCTATCTAAATGAATCTTCAACGGGGCTGTGAATTGCACCAAAAATTGTGCCGTATGAAAAAATAAATACCCTCTACACAAAAAGTAATATACTTTTTCGTGCAAAGAATGAGTGTAACAACGAACCATATTCACTGTTTGAGTAGTGACATATCCAAACAAGTTTCATGATTCGAGCGTCTGAGAACCATCTCACTCTCTAAAAAGAATTTCACTTTTATAAAGCGAATGAAAAGAAATTACATTGTGACAAAATGAGAAAGACAAATAAATCAGATAGCATACATTTAAAATGTACGTTTAACAGTGGTTTCCATGTATAGCCGTGAAAGCCCAGGCTATTCGAAGTAAACAAATTTAGCACAGGTTTGTACCGGAACACCTGTACTATATAAATGTACCAAATTTCTGCTGATGAAAAAGATATAGCATGACCGTGTAATAAAAGGTAACATACACAATACACATGCAGGTACCTGCATATTGTTAACCTATATAGGTCGTATATTTCTTCTCCATGAGATGGGCATCTTTGATCATAAAGATGGACTTAACAAACTGTATGCATATGCATCTATGTATATCTATGATTTACATCAAATGTAAAGCAATTACAGTATATTCTTATGCCACTACCAGAAAAAAAAATAAAAAATGAACTACTAAAATTAAACCTAAATTATTTTAAAAAAAAAAAGACAGTTGAAAACACAGGGCTCTAGGGCCTTTTAATTTCAGAAATGGATTAATGGATTTTTGGTTCCGACAGTGTTCAATTTGGTCACCCAAGTTCCATACCAAAAATTATCATTTAAAATATTAATATGCCTGGCATAATAACAATTAAAATGGCCCCATAATCTGCTACTTTCAGCAGTATAACTGATTTAAGAATTTGTTCCATCATGAAAAATAATAAGACTTTTAGCATTTTTAATGTCCACTTCTGATTCACCAATTTAAAGATTCTCTTGCCTCACAAATTGTTCTTTCAAACAAAAACTAACTCACCAACTTGATATTATCGGATTAAGAACGTAAGAAGACAGTTTGGAGTAAATAATAGAACGACTAGCTAGACTAACTTAAACATGCACAAATTTAACATAAAATCAAGCTTCTGTCACTCAGAAATGATACCCACAGAAAAAATGGCTATGGAATCTTACATGTACTACGAAAATAAATGCAGTAAGTACGTGATTCGTATGTAATTCTGGATAAGACCGAAGAGTATAATGAACAAAATCTTATCTTCTTTGTTGTGTTCATTTTCTTCTATTTCTAAATCTGGGATCCAACTTCATAGTAGATGTCCCGTGAATGATCAAGAAATGCTAGAAAGAAAGGGATTTTACAACAGAAACTTCTGAAACTTGTTCAAATTTTTTGTTTTTCTTGAACGCAAATTAGGACAAATAATACCAAGATTCTTGAAATGGGTTTATGAAATAATTAAAAGTACATATATACCTTGAGTCAGTGGAATACTCAAAGAGCTTTCCCTTGGTAGAAAAAACTATCAAAGCAACCTCAGCATCACAAAGAACTGAGATCTCATGAGCCTTTTTGAGTAGACCGGACCTCCTTTTGGAGAAGGTGACTTGCCTGCTAATCTTGTTCTCGATCCGCTTCAACTGAACCCTACCTCTCCCCATTTCTTGCTTCTTGATTATAACAAAATATACACACGCGCAGAGAGAGTGTATATATATAAGCAAGAATTCAGAAAACCCTAAATTCTTCACAGATTTATGCTTCACACACCATACACAAGAACACAAAGTGGAAGGAGGGTTATGATTTGATGGGCTTTTATCATGATAATTTGTGGTGCTTTCTATTTCGGTCTAAAGCCAAGTTTTATTCTATAAAGCATAGTCTCTCTCTCTCTCTCTCTCTCTCTCTCTCTCTCTCTCTCTGTGTACATGTACAGACACGTACATTACATAATACATATACGTCTTGGGGATGGGGTGGAGTAGGGAAAACCAGGAGTAGGAAGATGGATGCGTTGTCGATTTAGTATTGGAGATAAGAGTTGTTTAGTCGTCAGTGTCTCGTTTAGGACCACAGGTGTAGAACAGTTCGTACAACCTAATACAAAAGGTGGGACTCTAGTAATGATGCCTAAGTAGGACTCTTTATTTGTATTCTAGTGGCGACGGCGGCTCCAGTATCTTTAATACTAAATTTGTATTTTCGTGTCATCAATGCTACACTACAAGAATCCATGTATAAATCTTAGTATTCTGGGATCTTTCTAAGCACATGAACATTAACATGTACAAGTTTTAGTAATTTGGAATCTTTCTAAGCCAGTATATATTTGGTTCAGAGGAAACACAAGAATTCATGTACAATAATAAATGTATATCGAGTCACGGAATTAAGTTTAGCTTTCAACTTCGATATGTTATGAAAGATTTAGTTAAAATTGTTATTGGTGGATCAACTGAAACACAAAAGGTCAACGAGAGATAAATTAGAGGCCAGGTTGGTTTCAAGCTGGTTAGAATATTTGGCATCTGAGCAGCACGTGGAAGGTTGATTTATAGCATTGATAGAAAAGGTCGAATTCTCGAGTTGGTAAAGAGACAATGCACAATTACTTGAAAATTATGTAAACAATATTGTATTAGGTAATTTGAGCATAGAAAAATATGTTGGGGGACATGTTTTGATACATTTTATGGAGACAAGTAAAATTATGGATATTCAGAATTAGGACTATAATACTAAATTTATACGACCAGAGACACTTTACTCGGTTATTTGTCATGGAGTATAACTACGGAGCATAAAATTGACTTCTTTTACTTTTACACTGTGCTCCCATTTTCCAACATGGCGAGTTTAATATTGTTCTCTCCTTTTTCTTTTGCAACTTAAGCTGGATGTATAGTCGTATAGATGACCCCCTCCCCCCCCCACCTCCCCCACTGTATATATAATAATTTTTCATTAATATTAAAACGGGTCACGTATTGTAATTAATAAGAAAAAACCTAGAATTCATGTATCTTAATTATGCAATATTGTCTATCAAAAAAAAAAAAAAATTATGTAATGTGAAATAAATCAAGCAACTATACAAGATATTTTGTATGAGATGTCTTAATCATAAATTGTCAATACATATTTGATCTATCGTATTAGATCATATTGAAGAGTACGTTAATCGATAAAATTTAATTTTTTAATGTATATTGTTCGGTAACTTTTTTATCAATCTTACCGCATCATAATACTTTTATTCAATACTTCGCTTCTTTTTTGAAAAATCAATGGTAAAGTATGATCATAAAAATGTTGAAATTTAACAAGAAAATAAAATTTTTTTCACCTTATATATATGCACAATCAAGAATCGATATATATAATTAATGAATAATAGATTACAAAACAAAAATCAACTATATTGAATAATTTGAAATAATCACTTAAAAAAGGAATAAAACTAGAAATCCAAAAGTTGAAAATGTATAAAGATTTGTGGCTCGAGAAAATATTCCACGATAATTTTGAGCAAATTAAGTATGTGTGGTCCATTCTTTTGTATGGAAAAACAAAATATTAACAATTCCCTTATCATGGGTAAATGAGATTGGCATTTACTCCCTGGTCCCGGAAAGAGATTTCATGATTTTGAATGTAGTTTTCCAATGTTCAATTCCTAGATTAGTTTTTTTTATCTGAATAATGATGGAATATCAGTAATGTTGCAACTTAAGTGGAATAATAGGATATGACAGTTCAACTCCCCTCACCTTCATGAAAATTGATCTGCTATATCCCATCATTCCACATAAATTACCACATCAACGATATTTCATCATTATGATAATAAATGACATTACTCTTTTCCTCTGCATTGTGAATTCACGGCATACAAGAAATGTCCGACCGTGAATCTTTTGCACAAGTTGAGATAATTAACCCATAGATGTTATCCCTTGGTGGTCCCATTTAGAAAGTGTTTCGCCATATAAAAAATATTTTTCGCCGAAAAAGAAATTTTAGAATCATGGGGACCATTTTGCAATTAGCAACAATAGCATAGAATATGCATATAGTACAAAATTATTCACCAAAATAATATGTGCATAGTACGTAATGAATGATCTCAAAATCCTTAACTATTACGATATTACAGGCTTTTAAGTTGGGGACCAAAGTAAAACTTACAAGTTTATGGGAAAATAATTTTTTGAAAAATAAGTAAGAACAAGTTTTCGATAGAGGCACGTTCTTTGAATCACTCAAAGCATTAATCTCACTTTATTGTGTCGATTATGAGATAATGTTAAGAACCCTATTAATTAAAGTTAGTACGCATGCCTAATCCTTTACCTTTTTGCTACTTTACCATTCTTTTCATTATTTTGAGTCCACAAAAATTCGTTTGATGTTTAAGAGACACAATGGCTTTTGAGATTTCGAAAGCGATGTCGTGTATTTAGCTTTGAATGGATAAGGAAAGAAGAAAGTATGCTCCTAATGATCGAATCGTGACTTGATGAGGAGTTTCTTCGGTGTAAAGGGTTTAATATTGGACATTTATACGAAAACTTAGCCTATGTTTGGTGTTGCTTAAAAAAATTAATAAAAATTTAAGTCAAGCCAACAACTAATTCTCACCACGCATTTAATGAGATTCATAACTTTTATCAAATTTTCAACCATACATTTTATCAACTTTGACTAAAAATCTTAACTTTAGCTACACCAACAAGGGCTAAATCTAGGATTGTTGTTTTCTCGATCTTGTCTAAATGCTTCCCTAGTATCCTACTCGTTTAGACAAGATCATTTATCATCTCCCCATATATATCAATAGCCAAATATATTGATGAGTAACCTATCTTATCGTGCACGTCATTTTTATCCAAATTAAATTTCAATCACATATTTCATAGAATTTACAAATTTTTCAATTACATATTTTATTAACTTTTATCAAAATTTATGGTTTTATATATCAAAAACAACATGGACTAAAAAATGTACACATAATTTATCATGGTAAAAACCATTTGTACATTGTCTCGTGTACATTGTGGTTTACACTCCATTGAGTTTTTTTTTTTAAAACTGTTCGATGATGTCTAGACACATGACACAATGTCAAATTTGTTGTCAAAGAAAATGTACACGTAGCATGATTCATCTATCACATGAACTATGAACAGGAAGTCATTAAGCCTCTGTTTGAGCCACATTAAAATTTTCATTCTTATTCTTATATTCATTTTCAACCACACATTCTTCAATAAAATAATATTTTTAATTTCATCAATAACTTTTCATTCTTTTTCAACCACACATTCTCTATCAATCTACTATTTCAAAATATATTTTTCCAAAATCACATGAACTATGAACAGGAAGTCATTAAGCCTCTGTTTGAGCCACATTAAAATTTTCATTCTTATTCTTATATTCATTTTCAACCACACATTCTTCAATAAAATAATATTTTTAATTTCATCAATAACTTTTCATTCTTTTTCAACCACACATTCTCTATCAATTTACTATTTCAAAATATATTTTTCCAAAATAACGTGGCTCAAACGCACCATAATTAATAAACCTTGACAATTCATGAACAGAGTCCAGCTAGAACAGTATCAAATAATTACAAAAGTTGCACTTTCACCACAAAAGAATACAAAACAAAGCTTCAACGGCATATAAGTTAAAATGACTAAACTACCCCTGAAAAGAATTTTTGCCAAATTTAATATAAATCGTACACTGTACCTTAAATGGTTGTTTATTATTAATAAAAATGGAAATTGGCGTGGGTGGTGGGCTAAAGTCATTTATTCAAGTTGCATAAAATAAGTAGGGGCATCTTTTTTTATATAAACTTACACTGTATTTTATTAATAGCCTAAATCTGGAATCATTTCAGCAATTTTAGGGTTTGTCTAATTATGGAAATTATTTGTCTTTCTATTTCAATAAATAATTTTCTTTCCAAATATGGTTTTCTGTAATTTTACTGTCCATTATTACCGTGATGAATATGAGCTTCATCAAGCTTTCCTTTTTGGAAATGCCTCATTGCCTCGTGTGCTTGCCTTTTCATCCTGCTATATTATTATTATTATTATTATTATTATTATTATTATTATTATTATTTTTTGATCAAAATACTATATGCTACTTATAAGTAGATCCAAAACGTCGATTTCGTCCAACCAACTTAACACAACTAACATAAATATTTAAATTTCATCGGTAAATTTAATTGATTGAACATGGTGTCAAAGTTTGGAACTCCTGATTGGAGGAAGATGAATATTTTTGTCAATTAACAGATTTTTGGATGAAAATCATTAGGTGCCTGTCTGGGAGAAATTTTTCACAAAGTTTGAGTAAAAATCTTGCCGTTATACAAGAAGGATTTTGACCAAACCAAGCGAAAAATTAAAATTTCTCCCAGACAGGCAGTAGATGTCATTTGGCACGTTTATTAAAGGTTTTGGACCTCCGTATCACATTTTTGAAATGTTCAAAACTAAGAAGCAAATTGCCCTTTCTAATTAATAAAATGTTAAAAAAACCATTTTACCCCTTTATAATTGGTCGAATTACAGCCAAACGCTGGTTAACTAATGAATTTTTGTACGAAAATTGTCCAAATATCATTTAGACGCACCAGTTTGAAATGTTTAGTACTAACGTTGTTATAGCTTAAAGATTTGGATAAAATCAGCAAATTCTTTTGATATTTTGGAATCGTTATTGCAATTATCCTTTTCATTGCTTAGATGTTGGGTTTAATATGCAACTTGATGTGTAAATCAGAATTTAATAAAAGGTGTGACCCATAATAAAGGTGAATGAGTAGCTACAAGACTTTGTTGAGTAGTCCATTTCCTTTATTTGGTTCCAATACTAATAAAGTTGACCGTTTCATTGGAAAAAGGTTAGGTTAAGAGAATTCACATTTAAATAATAATTAAATGTGGTCTGCAACAAACTGACAAAATTCAATTAATTCTCTTTCTTAATCATGTATAAAATTAAAAAAAAATAGAATAAAATTAAATTGAAAAAAAGAATAACTTTTTTTAAGATCAATCATAACGTGAGAATTAATCAAATCGGATTTGACAGAAGTGCTGATTATTTAATTAAAAATTTAAAGCATTCACATGCCTGCAATTTGGTTTTATTGTTATAAAAGATAATCAAATTAATTACATTCTAATTGACATTTGATTGATTCATAAATGGAAGACATAATTTGTCCGGTTTTTGGAAGCCAAATGTAGAATATTTTCTTCATAGCCTATATAATAAATTATTTATTTGAAGATTTCTTTTACTCGAAAAATTCAATTTAAGTCTTCTTTTTCATTGTCCACACCCAAGTACGGTATATCGATTAACTACTGAAATAACCTCGACTACTCTAGTAAAACTCGTTAGACTAAATCTTTCAAATGCTTCACGACTTGAATGGAATCATTCATTTCGCCCATGTTTGGTTTGGATAAAAAGTTATTATTATTATTATTATTTTTTTGTGAAAACGTCTGATTAAAAAGTTGTGAATCCTATAAAATATATAATTGAAAATAAGTTTAAGAAAAAAAGTGAATTTAAAGAAATGTGGGTCAAACAGGGACTTCATTTCCACACTCGATAATCCTCTTGAACTACTATTATATTTGTACATATGGGTGAAATAGACAAATAAATTAAGGGAAAATTTCATAAGTAAGATATTTAGTTTTACCTATTTCAAATTTAAGAAATAAGGTTTAAAATTTCAAATTTCAGATTTTTTAAGGTTTAAAATTTTAAATCTTAGATTTTTTAAAAAATTTTATTTATAAATAAATAAATTAAACATATATTTTATTAATTAAATATATTAAGGTCACAATTCTATATAATTTGGTCACAAATTTTACATATCACAAATTATTTTACGGACACAATTCAAAAATTTTATAGGTCACAATTTGTTCATCGGTCACAAAAATTAAAACGTCACAAATTATTTTACGGTCACAATTCAAAAAATTTATATGTCACAATTTATTCATCGGCCAAAAATCAGAAATTTTATAAGTTACAAATTAATTTACGGTCACAAATTTGAAATTTTATAGGTCACAATTCAGAAATTTTATAGGTCACAATAAAAAATTGAAACGTCACAACTTTTTCATCGGTCACAAATCAAAATTTTTTAAAAGTTACAAATTATTTTACGATCACAAATCAGAAATTTTATAGGTCACAATTTAATTCGTTGGTCACAGATCAAAAATTATAGATCACAGTTTATAGATAGGTCACTTATTTCCAAATTTCTTGGTCACAAATTATCGAAATTTAAGGTTACAGATTAATAATGAATCACAATGAACCAATATGTCGGTCACATACACCAAACACCCCACCCCCGTCCCGATCCTCCACCAATATTTGGTCACAAATCAACCAAATAATTGATCACAAATACTACCCCATTTTCCTTTTTTATTCCTTTTCCCTTTATCTTTAGCTCTTCGATTTTTACCTACACTTCGAATTATCACCATTTTACATTTTAAACAACAATGTATGGTAAATGTTGCTCAAACAAAGGATTTAACAAGTGAAAGTCTTCAATTTAATCTTGTGCAGAAAGCTCGGGGGTGATGATGGGTGGTATTAATTCCATTTTGGACTAATTAGACCTACCAACAAACATGTAGAAGATGCCTACTGTAATTTAAACTAACCATTCATCTCTTCCTCAATTTGCTGTAAAACTTCTATTAACACACATGTACAAATTCATCAAATACTTTGCAATTTACCAATCCCCCAATTTCAGAACTCCTCACCAGAAAATGCCAACATCGAGTAAATCCTCTCAGAGATTATCTTTCTTCAACCTTGCTGCCGAGGAAAATAATTTCGAAAAGATGATCTTGAGCATTCGCAACTGAAATTGGAGGCTGACATGAAAGTGTATAGATCAAGCGATTATTACGATTGAAGTCAAAAACCCAACGATTGAATCTTCACTTTCGATTTCATGAATGCTGTGAAGTTTCACATTTCTAAAATTTGAAATTCATGAAATTGTGGCTAAATTAGTTTTCGATTCTGAAAATTTGATATTCACCGCCTACCACAGATCCACCATCGCCGCCCAAAAAATACCACCACGGCACACCATCGCCACCACCACCTCCTCTATGGAGATTTACACCACACCAACAACAAAACATGAGAAGGGGAGGAGGGAGAAGAGATGAAATGAAGAGCGGAGAAAAAAAAAAAAAAAGAAAAAACTCACCACCGCGTTCTATGCCGCTGTAGCCACGATTTGCATTGGTCGCCGCTTTGAGCGCCAGCGCCGCCGGTGAAGGAAAAGAGAGAAGACAGAGGCGGAGAGGAGAGGAAAAAAAACGATGAGGATAGAGAAAGAGAGAGTAATGAAAATGAAAAATGATTAATTTGAATTTGTAATATAATTATTAATATTAAATTTTTTAATTAAAACCTGATTTTTGAAAAGTTAAACTTGTCATCTGATTTATAAAAATGGTATTTTAAAATCAGGTATAGGTGTAATTTCCTCATAAATTAAATCCATGTTTGCCTATTAGTTTTCATTTATTGGGTTTTGAGAGTGGATTCAAAGCCTCTCTCTATATTGTGTATTTTCTGTTCATACGGCCCAGCCCAATAACTCACGATACAAAGGTCCACAGGAAATTGGTGCTGGTCTAATCTGTATTAAGAATATAAATGGGCTTTCGGCCCAGATCCAAGTCAGTACATAAAAATTAAATCAGTCCATATTTATTTTTAAAAAATGATCCATTTTTTTCCAAAAATTTTACAAGGAAATGTAGCAACATTATACACATCCAGCTGTTTCACCTAGGTCCAGTCTTGGAAACTCAAAACTAATTAGGATTTCGTTTGATAGAGCTTCTACTTTTATTTTTGCTTTTATTTCTTGTAGAAAAGTTTTCGAAGGAATCTACCTTATACCGACTTCCTTTAAAAGCTCTTCTAATCAATCAAACCACTTTTATAAAATTATCCAAACGTGTTTAAATCTACTTTTTAGTTCACAAACAACTTTTGACTTTTCAAAAAGTCATGACAAACAAGTCCTAAGTCCGCTCATACAAGGAGGGAACTTGGACTCTGGAAAACAGTGGAAGGCCAATGTCTATGTCGATTCTAGTTACATGTATTTTTATACATCGTCTGTGTTTTTTTAATGAGTTTAGACACGAGTTACTTTAAATGCATAACTCGCAGTGCTCAAATCCGCATAAGGCTATTAGAAAGCATTACCATCATACTTGTCGATAGTTTAGTGTTAGGTTATTAGCCACATTATTAACTTTGGCATGCAATGGAAGAACTATTCAATTCTAGGATGTAAGCAAATACTACAAATGGCTACGCAGAAAAACCAGAAAGATACACTTGATTTCAATTAAGTCGATGAGTAAATGTTTTATAGTACTCCAAAATGAAGTCTTACAGCTGCATGACATTATTAGGATTTTTAGGATAATTAATGCGTGGTAGATATAACAGAAAGATACAACCAAATATTGTCTTCAGCGCGCACCCAAGTGGTGAAAGCATGAGGATTCTTGAAGTGTAAATTTAGAGCATCCAACCTGGGAGCAAGCCATTCACATTCTGAACATCTGAATTGATAGCAGTCATTTGGCTTGAACTTCCAGGATTATTGTATCTGTATCAGTATAAGAATCAGAAAAATAAGTAATTTATGATTCCCAAAAGGTCAAAGCACATTTACTTATTGTATTCTAATAAAAGAGGCCACTCTATTATTTATGAGCGAGGTCGAGGCTTTGTGAGTTCATTCCAAACAAAGCGAAACAACTTTCAAACCACAAAATGCTTGATAAAATACTCTGATGCCTGCTTCTGTTATATAACCTTTAATGGCATACGACAAGCACAATTAAAAGTATGGTGGTAAATAGGGTTGTGGAGGTCAAGATAATAAAACTTGTTTACTTCGCGACTTCCACAAACAAAGCACTGCAAGAATGGCTGATCCAGTAATGCGTGAAAATAGAGTACAGAAGATTTTCGTGTACTTGCTAACTCCAAGTGAAATGAAAACCATTTTTATCTGTGAAAAGAAACAGAAGAATTTCAGAAACATTACCCAATTTGCAAAGAAGAATTGCATTCCAATGGTTGAAAAAAGGCATGAGATTGAGGATGCTGTTGGCCATATGCACAGCTTTGCTCACCACCACCCCAGGATTGCTGCACATGATTTGCAGCATAAATTTCTTCCAGCTGAAAAGCATAACAAATGTAGCAGTATCATATCAATGAAGACTAAATCTAAATAAATAAAAGTTTCCTCTCTCTAACAATTTAAACTTTTAGATGGGGTGACTAATGCATATTATGGCGCAAATGTTCTTGAGAGGTCTTTAAGATTGTGGGACGAAATTCCACCCATCTCTTCTTCTCTATTGAGTTATATTTACTCAAGATCTGTAACCAAGACATCCTAAAAATGGTCATATTGTCATGTCATGTAAAGTATGCACGGAAAAGAATTCTCCAAAAACTCAAACTCTTGTCAATGATCATTTTGATCCACATGGAAACAAATCAATGAAGAATGAATAGAATTGAGTACCACATCAAGTTCTTATTGGGAATTAGTGATCCAAATTCTACCACCAAGAACAATTGAATTGAACCGCGTACTGGATCCACACAATGGCAATAATTAGACTTCACAACTCAACAGCTCTATTGAAGAAAACATGTATATTTGCTCTCTCATTGTGCAAGTGTGAATATAGGCAAATGACTAAACAACATTATAATACATTGTTTCCCTTCCCTTCAATTATTTTCTATGTCGGACAAGAAGAGAATTTAAATCCAACAAGTTCACTAATTTACCTTCCTCTTGAGAACCGTATTAGTCTCAACCATCATCTTTTCCTGTAATACAGATTGAGCTTGTTAGCCATAACATACATTGAACTACAAGAAATATAAGTAGAAACTAAGCATAGATACCTTGGCTTGAAGATCGGAAAGTTCATCGAGCATAATCTGTGTCTGTAAATAAGTATAAAATCAGTGGAAACGTTTACCAGAATTATATTTTCTTCAGATCCATGCAGAACTAGGTTGCTTTGATACCAATAAGGGACATGTTACACGTGAAAACATTTTTTTGTGAAAATGGACAAAAGAAATCTTATAGGAACATTTTATATATATTAAAGTTATAAATATAAACAATACAATCCATCAAATTAAATTTCTCACCCTATGCATTATGCTTTTAATAAAATTTTGTTCATAATATCATTGGTAAAAAAAATACTAAATATTAAAGCCAATTGTTATGTGTATTCCTACTTAAAAAGTCCATAATAAAACCCACAATTCCAATTTACTTTTTTTCATTCGTAGATTCCTTTAGATATTCGAACATTATTAAAACTAAAAGATAGTGTCTGCGTTTATGACATTTTAGACAACAAACAAAACTATATTTTCTTTAAAGACAATTTATTGTATGTTTGCTATCCAATAGAAGACGCGTTTTGACGGTATAAAGATGCAAAACTTCAACTATTTTTCTTCATCGATACAATTTAGTACTATACGATTCATCTTAACAATAAATAAATAAACACGACCACCACACCAATCATATTGTAACGGTAGGGTCTAAAAATTCAAAGATTTACAAAAGTAATAAGTTGGCAATACAAATACTGGCATTTATGGAAATTTGCTTACCCTTGTGGATCTAATATGCTTGAGGGATGTCTCTAGTTGATGCTCCAGATGCTCAAGATCATTGATATTTAGAGGTCCCAACTCATCCCCAAGAAGATGTCTGTAACAGTTTAAAGTTCAAGATAAAAATAGTGCTTGTTCCAAACCCATGGATGGAGCCAGAAAATTATGTTAGGATGGGTTGAAACTTAAAAAATTTCAAATGAACTCACACCACAAGAAATCGAGTTTCGGAAGCTATTCTCGTAGCATTCACGATAAAAAAAAAAATACGGAACTCGATGAAATTCAAAAAAAAAAAGTTTAAATATCTCACATTAAGATATTCCACTAAATCTTTGTATTTTTTATTTTTTTTATCAAATGGAAAATCGACGCTTGCCTTAAAAAATAAAAATGAACCAAATCATGATAGAAATAAGCAAAAATACATATCCACCAATAAAAATTTAAAAAATTACTTAACGAGTACTTTTTTAGTAACTTTGACGACCAATCTTTCCAAACAACTGAAAATTTGATTGAAACACGCAGTCGATAATATATCACTATAATCCATATATTATTGTCTCGAATTTATTTGGTGTGTTTATCGATCTTTTATATCACCACATTTCAAAGTGAGTGAAGAATCTCAACCAAAATGAGAAAAATCAATTAAGAATTTCGAGAGTCAAAGAAATTAAATTTAATTCACGTCCATTTTTTGCTCAATTTCAAGAATATACTTATAAATTTTATTTTTATTGTCAATATCGAATCTAGAGAAAATTATTTATTTTGATCATAATATCCTTTTTATAGTCAAAATAAATAATTTTTTTTTATAAGTATGAATAAGTAATATACGAAATCATACGTAAAAATAAAAATAAAAATTACTTTTAAATTTAGCAAAATATATAGTGTCTCTAACTACTAAAATAAGTAAGTACTTCTAGATCTAATCAATACAAATTATCTCTAATAAAATTTAAATAATAATTATAAGTAAATTTAGTCAAACATGCATTAAATAGAATATCTATTTTGACAATAAAATATTCACTTTCATGAATGTCCTGATAAGAGTAATTAATAATCATAGCATCTTTACTATAATTTGAATATTTGAGCATAGGACTTGGGTTGATATTCAAATTAGAGTTGGGCTAATGCTAATATTTGAGTCAAAATTTACAATTTCTTCTCTGTCCACACATATATATTCTCACCTCAAGCAAACTTGAAATTTGTACAAAATAATAATAATAATAATAATCTGTGTAGCTCTGTAACCAAGGAACTAATAAATTTTGAACGACATCATCTAACAAAATAACGTAATTTAATATAGTATCAAAGCTAAGAAAACGTATTTTCCTGTGTCCAAACACTACATTGAACCACTCAATCTTAAAAGCTTATACTTTAAAATTGAGGCGGTTCAATAGCGATAAAGTTAATTTACCTTTGATATCGTTGTAGCGACTCATATTTAGACTTCAGTTTCGAATATTCCCGATAGTTGCTTTCCTGCAAAAAGACTTACAAAACTAAGCTAGATAATAATCATCATTTGGCTTAGGCACCATAAATAACAAATTATCTTACCAATGCAACAACTCATAAAGAGTATATTTGGCTAAGATTAAAAAATATATATATAAAAGTTACTCACCCTTGTTTGATTTTTATTTCTTGAGAAGTGATTTTGTGAAAAGTTACTTTTTTGAAGAATGCATGGTTGAAATATAGAGAAAAGTTAAGAATTTATGTACAAAATTAATTTTTTTTTAAAAGAATGTGTTGTTGAAAATGAGTTTTAAGGAAAATTGATTTTATTAATATGTTTGAATAATGATATCTTATTATCAAAGAAAAGGAACTTTATTATTTTCAATCTTAAAAAAATTATTTAATTTAAAACTTATATGAAAAATTTTAAGTTTAGCCGAACATGCACTTTAAAGCAAACAAAGCAGCAAAAGATAAATCATCTCCCATATATATCATTTGTTTCGGAGACACAAGATAAACCTAGACAAAATTTCCCATGCAAATCATCTCGATGCTTTCAAAAGAATTCAAGAAATTGGCAATAGTTCAAATTTCTAAGATTTATATATACTAAAAATTTCAGCCTATTCTTTTTCAGTTGAAACAATAATTTCATTTTTTATATATATACACTGTCTTTTAGCAATATTTTCATGATTAAGTGAGACAAGATTGAAATAGAATTACATATATTATTATTATACCTCAAGTTCTCTGGTTGAATTGTTGACTTCCAGAGAACCATAACTGCACTTCTGATACCTTTCAAGTGTTTTGAGCATACTGAAACAATCAGACAGAAAAATAATCCATTAGTTAGTAGAAGTAGCATGACTATGACAATGGTAAAATCGACAAGAAGGTTAAATTCTTCTTTCTTATGCACACAAGGATGTCAAATAATGGATAAATATGGATTAACAGACAGGTTGAGAACAAATTAGAAGTGATAGTGCAACAAATTTTAAAAGTCAATTTCCATTTCGAAGAGAATGGAAATATTTCCCTATCTTGAAAAAAAATGGTAATTTTCTTAAGCAAAGAAATTATTCATGATTAATTAAACTATTTCTACCCTTTTTGACTTCAACTTTACCAATATAAGGAAGGTAAAAACCTTTAAAAAAAGTTCTTTTAAATAGTGCACCGATGATAATGGGAGTTACAACGCTAAACTTTTCTTTGAACCCTAAATCATTTGATGATATTGCAGCAGCATTTAAGGCATTGATAAGAGAAATATATAAGTGATACCATTAATGAAAAGGACTCTAAATAATTTGGGGATATTGCAGTAATATTCAAGGTATTGACCAGAGAAATATACACGACAACAAAATTAACGAAAAAGATAAGGATTCACCAAATTTAAACAATTGATTGACAAGTAAATCCGTTTACTAGGTGTGATGTGGAGTGTTACTTGAAACGCGACTCCAAGATCTTTATCTTCCAACAAACCATAAGTTTGCAATATGACATATCATATCCAACAAACACAAGTTTCTTCTTCATTCATATGACACTAACGATAATGGAACTTTTCTCTTCCTTTCCCAAATTCAAATTTTACAAGAATTATATTAAAATTATTGCAATGTATTTAAGGAATTATATACAATAGATGGAATTATCTTGCTCAGTCTATGCTAACTAGATATCAAATCAATCAAGAGATTGAAAAATAAAAAGAATTTTAACACACTCACACCTACCATTAGAATACTAATATGTTCATATGATAAAATCTTACCTCATACTCACTTGAAAATATAAGCTAAAATTTTGTAAAATATAAAATTTACCTAGGGAAAGAGTAGAAACAAAACATGCATTTCTTTATTGATAAACTTCAAGAATTACAAAATGGTCAAATTTGTTAAGTTATCCGATTTCAATCAACAATTGAAGTACTCTGAAATTATGTCATGTCAATACGTATAACGAATTTATGATGCCCTGCAATATCTGATCAACCTCTTATGTCAGTTTTTGTCACGATTAGACTGAAACTGAGAATTTTTTGTTTAATAATATATAAGATCATCAAGGAAAAAGAATTTAGCTTTATAGAAGCCCTAGATAGCAACTTCGCGCTTTTTTTTTTTTAATAAAAAATTAAAAGAAAGGAAGATGGATCAGGCTTGAAACTGGGTAAAAGCAAGGATCTGAGGAAAACATTGTGTATTTCTCTGAACATACAGATCATAGATGGACAAAAATTGCCAGTCATCTATCAGTAATATGAGCAATTTCAGACCAGGGAAACAAATCAAATAATGAAAAAACTTAACTTACCACAACACCCAAAATTTTAAGTAGTAGAAGATAAATCCCATCTTTTTACTTTTGCAAATATTTAATAATTTTTTAAGATTTACTGATCAAACTGACCAGGAAAATAAGAAAGAATACATACAAACATGCAAAGAAATTACAAATAAAATACATATCAAAGAATAGAGTCAATTAATTATACTGTAGATTCATATAACTATTATTAGGGTTAAGTTAAAATATAATACTTGGAGGTGCTGCAGAACTCATAGAGCTTCCCCCGGTTAGAAAAGATGATAAGAGCAACCTCGGCATCACACAGAACAGAGAGTTCGTAGGCTTTCTTGAGCAACCCATTTCTTCGTTTCGCAAATGTTACCTGTCGATTAATCTTGTTCTCAATCCTCTTCAATTCCACTCTCCCCCTACCCATAATCTCTTTTCCACCTATATATAACACTATGTATCTATATATGTATCTGAATATATGAGTCTTTACTTCCCCTTTCTTCTGTTGGCCCTCTTTCTCTCAGTCTTCACACAATTTTTTGATAACCTAAAAAGTTGAAATCTTGAAAGCCCTGAAAAGAGATAAACAAGGAAAGATTAGTTTATATACAGATGAACTGAATCTATATATGTGTAAATTGTGGACTTCTTTGTTGTTCTAGATTTTGGGTTCTCTGTAAGAACCTCAGGATTTGGCATGTGCACTTGCAGATCAGATATCAAAAACTTAGGGTTGGAGTATCTAATTGTGAAAGCGTTTTGAGCATTGTAATAAACGCGTGTATTTCTGTTCGAGATGTCGTACGTGAAGTGCACGCTCTGAAAATTCCAATGGAGGTAAAGGAAACGCAATATTTAGAAGCGCGGTAGTCGATTATGTCTCATTGCAATATCCATCAGAAAATATCAGAGAGCCGTCATCAATCTTAAACTAGATACACGTGGCAGTTGACCAGTGGGTCACGCATCTTTACTCTGTTACAATTATGTAAATGCACGTCTTTTTTTATCAACATACTTTTGAAACTCTTTTTTCTATCTATTAATTTGCATTCACACATTCATATAGTAACATATTTTGCACGTAAATTCAGAATTTTTTCTTAATTTTAAATCGTACATTCTCTTAAAAATCACTATTTAAAACTCGTTTTTCAAAAATATGATTGTCAAACAAGATCATAATTTGTTTGACAATGTTCAAGTAAAGTACTATTGTCCAATTAATTTGGAAATATTGGCCCCCAGACATAATCAAATTTATTTATTTATTCAAATATTATCTTATATGGTTTATAGACATAATGAAAATGACCTCTTGCTTGTATCATTTTTTAATCACTTTTTCGTGTTATTGTTGATTTGAAGTCCACGTCACATAAGTTGAGAGATTTTCTTGACTTGGTTGGGCTGTCAAATAGTCTAAACAGATCAGTTGGGAACCCTTATCCAATACTCCATCAATAGAGGTCGAAGTCAGATTATGAGAAAGGTCAGATGAAAGATCATCGTGACGATGAAGTGCTCTTATATGGCGATAAGATCGCACAAATCAACCAATCAAGAAAATGTCATGGTGTTTTAGGATACAAGCGTGAGGTCTTAGAACTATCATGATCTCGCTAAAAAACAAACTTACCAATTAATCAAATTTCTTGAGATCACGTAGGGTTGGCAACGAACCGAGCCGAAATTTGAAGCCCGGGCTCGACTCGAGCAAAATGGGTTCGGACTTTTTTGACCCGAGCCTAGCAAAAGCTTGGAAAAGAATTTAAAGGTCTGCCCTGGCTTTTGCTCGGGCCTCAACGGGCTGGTAGATTCTTTTTATTTTTTTTATATATAACATGTGCTGTCTTTAAATAATAGCTGCCACTTTCCCTCCTTCCATTTCAATTTTTTTTTTTTAAATTTTACACGGGGCCCTACGACCCGGCTCAATTTTACCGAGTCTGTAGCCGGCCCGGCGAGCCAAATTGACAACTCTAGGTACATGGTCTTATGACAAAAAAATTGTAGCTTAACATGAACATCGTGGCATGCTTGAGTCCATCATCAGGATGAATGATAATGATCAGCAAAAGTCGAATTGAAATTCACTACTATTATCGAATTTCAGCATCATAACACTAATCAATCTTAAACTAGATACACGTGTCAGTTGACCAGTGGGTCACGCATCTTTACTCTGTTACAATTATGTAAATGCACGTCTTTTTTTATCAACATACTTTTGAAACTCTTTTTTCTATCTATTAATTTGCATTCACACATTCATATAATAATATATTTTGCACGTAAATTCAGAATTTTTCCGTACTTTTGAACCGTACATCCTCCTAAAAATCACTATTCAAAACTCGTTTTTCAAAAATATGATTGTCAAACAAGGTCGTAATTTGTTTGACAATGTTCAAGTACTATTGTACAATTAATTTGGAAATATTGGCCCCCAGACATAATCAAATTTATTTATTTATTCAAATATTATCTTGCCCCTATTTGGACCACATTATTTTTTTCATTCTCATTATTCTACTCATTTTCAACCGCACATTTTTTAATAAAATAATATTTTCCATCACATCAATAACTTTTCCTTCTTTTTGAACCACACATTCTCCATCAATCTACAAGGCAGCCACATTATTTTTTCATTCTCATTTTTCTACTTATTTTTAATCACACATTTTTCAATAAAATAATATTTTTCATCACATCAATAACTTTTCCTTCTTTTTCAACCACATATTCTCTATTACATCATTTCAAAAAAATGCATTCTCTCATTTTAATATGTACCAAATGGGCTCATAATGTTTTATAGACATAATGAAAATGACCTCTCGCTTGTATCATTTTTTAATCACTTTTTCGTGTTATTGTTGATTTGAAGTCCACGTCACATAAGTTGAGAGATTTTCTTGACTTGGTTGGGCTGTCAAATAGTCTAAACAGATCAGTTGGGAACCCTTATCCGATACTCCATCAATAGAGGTCGAAGTCAGATTATGAGAAAGGTCAGATGAAAGATCATCGTGACGATGCAGTACTCTTATATAACGATAAGATCGCACAAATCAACCGGTCAAGAAAATATCATGGTGTTTTAAGATACAAGCGTGAGGCCTTAGAACTATCATGATCTTGCTAAAAACAAACTTACCAATTAATCAAATTTCTTGAGATGGACCATGGTACACGTAGGGTTGGCAACGAACCGAGCCGAAATTTGAAGCCCGGGCTCGACTCGAGCAAAATGGGTTCGGACTTTTTTGGCCCGAGCCTAGTAAAAGCTCGGAAAAGAATTTAAAGGTCGGTGGGCTTTTGCTCGGGGCTCAACAGTTTGGTCGATTCTTTTTATTTTTTTTTATATACAACATGTGTTGCCTTTAAATAACAGCTGTCACTTTCCCCCCTTCCATTTCAATTTTTTTTATATTTTACACGGGGCCCTACGACCCGGCTCAATTTTACCGAGTCTCAGGCTGGACTGGCCAGCCAAATTGACATCTCTAGGTACACGGTCTTATGACAAAAAAATGTAGCTTAACATGAACATGGTGACATGCTTGAGTCCATCATCAGGATGAATGATAATGATAAGCAAGAATCGAATTGAAATTCACTACTATTATCGAATTTCAGCATCATAACACTTTAATTTAGTTCAAATCTATAAACATTGATCAAAAAGGAAAAAAAAATTAAATATCAACTAAAATGAGATTATTGTATGCCAAAAAAAAAAAAAGTATTTAAGTGAGACTAATTCACAAATGGAAACTTTTTATTCCATGTGCACATGTAGCAATTCTATAAATTATCAACGATATTGTAATATTTTGTTATTTATTTTTTTACTTCTTGGGTAGAGAAAAATGGCATAGATGTTGACATGTTCTGCATAGTGAAATCCTAATGGGCACTGTTTGATCGAATGACATTCAAAAGCAACTAAGCCCAACCTCCCAATTGTGTTGTCGGGTGTCACATTTAAAAGTGATGCTTTCTCCATTCATACCAAGGTACGAGCATAACAATTTCGCCCAAGTTGCTTCGACACGATGCAGAGTCAATTTCAACGACGAGTGTACTATAAAAATAATTACATACTCTAGTAATTTAAATACTTAAATGAGATAATACGACGACGTGTAATTTCAGATTCAAATTTCTATCAAACTCATTTACATCAAACAAGTTGGGTCTAAGCTAAAAGTTTAGTTGCAATTATTGTTACAAATCACGATTAGAATCAATAGCCTACAAATTAAATGACATCATTCATTTTGCAAACTTATGCTTAGAATAATGTTATTTGTATATAATGGTTTATATACAAATGAGGTGTCAAAAGAGAGTTGACATTTTTTTTTATTATTATTTAGTTGAAGAAATTCTGATGGAATCATATCTCACCATATAATGAATATGTAAACAATTATATACATATAGCACAACCGCTTATGCTAATAGTATGTTAGGCACGCCCCTTGATGATATCAACGTATGGCTATAAAGGCTTGTTAGCAATCCCAAGAGAATTACTTAAGATCCTAGTATCGATCTTCTGATTTCGCTTTCACTTTCGCATTCTATTTTTCTCTAAAAGTTACATTATGCTCAATATTCTTGAAATTAAAGTCTATTTAAATAAATAAAAAAAATTAAAAAACGTTAATTTTCGTGGTTAGTGTGATTGACCCAATTAGTAGAAACTTTAAGTTAGTGGTTACTTAATATTTTTGAAATTTAAGTAGGTCGCGAGAACCTTTCTTGTGAGTTTTCTCTAGTTATTTTCCACTTGAAACCTAACACCATCACATGGTATTTGGCCATCCACGTCTCAACTTTAATGCTAGTTTGATATGTCTTATTGGACAATATTTATAATTCTCTATCTTCTTTGATCGTTTCAAGTACAGTCCAGTATAATATGCTAAACATATCAATAGAGTACAAAATTGAAGCCTTAAGATAGCTTTCAAACATTATATTATCAAATGAACCAAAGCGTATCTTCCTAAATTATTATCTAAATTCAGAATTTGCGTTCAATGATTTTATCTTACATTCTTCACACATGGCTGAATATTAGGTATTCAATACTAAACGCGTCTTGAAAACAATGTACAAAAATGAATTTAGTTCAATGTGAAGTGAATCTCCATCATTCCAACAGTATAATTGAAATAAAGTTTATTCAAGCTTTATCTGTTAATCATAATTGAAATAAAGTTTATTAAGGTTTACCAAAATGTTAATAAAAAATTCTTGTCTGCCAACGAAGGCCTATTAGCTCAGTTGGTTAGAGCGTCGTGCTAATAACGCGAAGGTCGCAGGTTCGAGACCTGCATGGGCCATTTTTGTCTTGAATTTCTTCTTTTCAATCTAAGTGCAACAAAAGAACTTCAAGTTAATTGCGCATAGGTCCTCTTTTTTACACAACTTTGTCAATTATTTGCCCAAACATTTCAAAAATTGTTAATATTCATCCTTCTTTCTTTCTTTCTTTCTTTTTTTCATTATTTCCATTTTCTTTCTCCTGGCACTTGATAATTATCTACAGCAACATTGCAAAAATTCTTAGAGCCTCTCATAATTTCTAATGGACACTTTTTATCCTATCCATACTCAGCCTCCTTTAAAGAACAAAATGAAAAAAATATTTTCTCGAAAAAAAAGATATTTTTTTATCGTCACTTATCATGTTATAACATACAATATCAAAATAAACTACATGCCCATATGCTTGATAATATTAATGCTAAACATTCCTCAGTAAATATATCCTCCACTGTTACTATAAATCCTAATGGCATCTGGCTCACAAGAATTAGCGGTAGCCATTTTACTGCAATTATTCAACTGTTGGTTCCACAACCCTCCCCATAAATAACTATCAATTGGGATAGTATCTGGACAGGACACGAAATCCTCGTACATAGTAGGTAACATTTCATTCTCCAACTCCATCACGGCGTCTTCGTGTTCCTCCTTTGCCTCGAAAAGCACACTTTCATTGTTTATGGCTTCCACCTTCTTCTCCTCATAAGTTTGTTTTTCTTGTGTTTGTAAAATAATTTTTCTGCTTTCTTGCTTTTCAGATGTCTTTCTTTTCTTCTTGAAACGAGTTCTCCAGTAGTTTTTTATCTCGTTATCCGTTCTTCCAGGCAAGTATCTAGCTATAGTCGACCATCTGTTGATGACACAAGAATAATGTTTTGTTCTCAATAAATTTGAAGTCGACCCATATCGGAAGAAAGAGAGAGAGTAATCTTACTTGTTTCCCCAAAGGGCATGAAGCTCAATAATAATTCCTTCCTCTTGAGGTGTTATGTGTCCTATTTTTAGTCCAGGCCTCAAGTAGTTTACCCATCTTAGCCTACAACTCTTTGCATTCCTATTCAACCCTAAATACCAAAAAAATAATAGCAAGATTTTAAAGCAAGCGACATAGGTAATCAAACAACAATCGAGAGAGTCGAAAAAGAACAAGTCCTCTCGACTCGAAAAACGTGACTTTATACCTGCAAACCTAGCTACAGAACTCCATCTCCCTTCACCATTTTGACTTACATATTCTGCAAGCAGCTTATCTTCTTCAGGAGTCCAAGGCCCTTTTCTCCACTCTTTTTCTGAAACACTCCAACTCTCCATTTAAACCTTTTTTTCTTTTTGCTTTAAATTTTATGTGACAAAATCCAAACGCAAACTTTGCTTATATATTGTATATATCTTCTTTTTTTGTCACTTTCAATGTCATTTTTGAGCCATTAATTAAGTTGATATATTTAACTTAAACAAACTATAATTCCTACAATCTTAGACTATATGCCAAATGTAATTATATCATTCACTTGGAAAAGTCTTGTCCAATAGAAAGTAAACAAGTGTTGCCACAAAATCCCTTCTTCTTTTTTGTTCCATAATATGAAGCACAAGGATAGATACCACATTAAGATCATCAAAAACTTGTCATCCTTTATATTATTTAAAGCATTAAGAAGCTTCATGATGCTAAATTGGGTAATGGGATTAATAAAATATGGAAAAGAAGAATGGATCGATGACGAGGTGAGTCAACTCGTGGACGCGTGGACACAAATTGCAATATTAAAATGTGAATGGCAAATTTTTAATTTGAAACATTCATTAATTTATAGCATAATGACATATATAGGTAATGATGTGTACCATAGTACCACCATTAATATATTTATATAAAGCTTTTCAATAGAAGAGTTCAAGATCAAGAAGAGTGCCACAAGATCAAGTAATGCTTGTACTAGATTCTATATCTGATTGTGCCAAGAATAAATTATTTAAAGTTGGTGTATTCTGTTGTCGTCATCGTCGCTCAAAGTAGGTAAGAAGTTTTTGAGTTTATAAGTATTTCTAGATTTAATCTAGTAACACATATCGAAAAAATAAATTAAAGTCGAGATTATTGATTAGATATTACTTCTTAATCGTTGAAAATTTTAAAAGCTTTGTGTGATCATCATGAATGGTATACACATATGCATACATATATGCTAAATTTTTATTCTAATTACTAGAGTAGACATTTGGTTTAATGATAGGAAATTACAACTATGGTTCGACAAGAAAGCATATTTACGTGTCAAGCTTTATCTTTCGTTTGAGAAATGTCTAAAACCTTTCATAGATTGATGTTTTCTTCTTTGACCAAGGGGGATTCCTCCATCTACTGACGGACCATTAGTTGTGTTTTAGAGTCTAAAGTACTGTAGCAGCTTATTGGAAAATGGTTTTAATACTAGTGAAATAGGTCAACTTTGAGCCCAAATTTCAATGAGATCTGTGCCTTAATTTCAACGGGACCTACTCCGCAAGAGAATTAACGTGATATATTTATTTGTCAAAAACCATTTAGTATTGAATGAAATATTTAATGTCAAAGTAACCTACATGAAACACGAATTTTATTTATTAGAAAATTTCCATATACTTGTCCCACATAGGAAAGTTATGAAATTTTGATGTGGTTTATATAATGTAAGGTTGGGAATTGAGTTTGGGCCTCAAGGGGTACCAATAGTTCTTAGAAGGGGGGGGACCTATATCCTATGGGATTCGGTCCAAACCCCACACACGCGCACCGTCGCCGCCTTCCATCCGACCGGCCGGCACGAGCACGTGCTCGAGCCCGGTCCAGTCCAGTCCGTATGCGGGTGCGTCCTTGTACTATATTATCTTTTTGGACAAAATTTATTTAATTTTGGATCAAATTGTAATTAATCAAATTCTTGGGTACTTAATAAAATTAATGTTTATTAATGGGCTTATTTTCGAGTAATTATTTTGGGTGGTTGTTAACCAAGTGAACCGACTTATTACTGAACCTTGCTGTCTGTTAGATTTTGGGCTTGTCTGAACAGTGACGACTGTTTTGAAGTGGTTTGAAGGATGT